GTAACGCGAGTAGTCGTCAACCACCAGCAGGAAGTAGCGCTCGTGACCCTGTCCACGGACGCGGGCCGGGCCCCACACGTCCATGTGAAGCGTCTGCAGAGGAGCCTCTGTCGGGGGAAACTGGGAGGAGTGAGGGGCAGCCCGGAGCCGCCCCTCGACACAAGGGACACAGGAAGGTCCTGGCCCCGAAGGAAGGGGAGGGAGAGACCGGGGGAGACTAGAGACAAGGACACGGGAAGCCATGCCCCGAAGACGAGGCAAGGAGGGGTGGCCAAGACGGTGGTGCCACAAGAGAGTCTCGTGAGACAGGAGGCGACACGAGTAGGGGGCAGACTCAGGACCAGACCTGGATGCAGCAGCAAACACCTGACCCGACGCAGCTACCTGGCCAGACGCAGGGACTGGAGGAGACTCAATGGTCAGGGTGTAGAGACTCGACCCGGGCCGACGCGAAAACGTGGCTAGGTGTCGGCCTGTGCGGGCGTCCGAGCAGTGGGTCCCCCGCTGACTCGCAGGAGTAAACTGGTGAACCCCCGCATCCTGCAGGTCAGCACCACTCACCAAGTTCGTCGAGAACGAGGGGAGGTACAGACCCGACAGGGTGCCCGAGGGGGCAGCCGGACACGGGAGGACAGTGGAGAAGTGAGCGAGGACAGGACCCCCAGAGGGGTCAGCCAGGGAGACTGCAACCGGCCGACCAAGCGGCGTGAGTGTGGTGCGGTCTCGAAAGAAGGAGGGAGAAGCCCCTGAGTCAAGTGTGAAGGTGAGGGGGGCCGAAGCCGACGCAGTACCTGAGAGCGCAGCCTCACTAGTACCTGAGAGCGCAGACGCACTGGCACCTAGAGCAGTAGCCTCACAAGCACCTAGAGCAGCAGTACCAATGCCCGGGTCGGGCGGGAAACACCGGTAACAGTCACCCTCATCACTAATAGTCACAGCATACATGGCAGCAAGGATACCATCAAAGTCAAGATCAAAGATAGCCACGCCAGCCCTAGACAGCTCTCCCCAGCGGGGGATCTCTGTGGCCTCCGGAAACTGCAGACGCCAAGCGTCCGTCAGGCGGCCAAAGCAGTGCTGGGTGGGGTGGGCACCCCCACACTGCTCACCCGCGCGGTCGCCGGTGCGAAGGACGTAGGTGCAGGGACCAAGTCCCCCACCACGCTGACGCTGCGTGTACCACTCACGGAGCTGCTGAGGGGTGGGGACGTCGCGAGAACGTTGCTGCTGCTGCTGCTGCTGGCGCTGACCACCCCCAGTGCCGCTCCGCTGTGAAGTGCCACTCCGACCACCTCCACCACCTCCTCCTCCACCTACTCCACCTCCGCCACCGCCGCCACCCCCGCCGGTACCGCCGCCGCCGACGCCGCCTCCGCCACCACTGCTGCCACTAGCACCCCCACCCCCGCCACCTCCTCCACCGCCACCCCCACTCCCTCCGCCACCTCCACCGCCACCGCCCCCGCTAGCCCCACCCGCTCCCTTGCCCCCCTTGCCCTTGCCAAGGCGACGTCTCCCGCTAGGGGCAGACGCCGCACCGACCGACTCAAGACCAACGAGGTCGGCCGCAGCGGCAGAGGCGACAGAGGGCAAGAGAGGGGAAGGAGAACACACCTCAAAGATGGGGGCGCGGGGGTCACCTCGAGAGGCTCCTACAGCGACGATGCTCTTCTCCGCCGCTAGGAGGGCCTTCTCTAGGCTGTCGACTGTGAGAGTGGTGGGACAGACCGCGAGGAAGTGGTCCCGGACTACACGAAGGGAGTCGGGGAGGCGGGTGACTAGAAAGTAGAGAGTGATGTACATGGGGGGGGGGGGGTTCTTGGCGCAGAAGTCAGCAGGAAGCGCAGCGCGGTAGCGGGTGTCACTAGTGCGGAGATGCGTAATGAGATCAGCGACTGTGGGAAAGGCGGCAAGGTCAGGGAAGAGGAAGGCTAGCATGAGGCGGCTCAGTGCAGCAGTGGCAGGGGAGGAGTAGCGCGCAACTACAGCGTCGTACAAGGTCTGAGCACTCTTGTACTGACTAAAGTGCGCACGCTAAGAGGTAGGGAGGTGGCGACGCACAGCAAGACGTGCAGCAGCATCGCGCGTAGCCCACTGGGAGCGAACAGTAGGGTCAGCATCAGCAGCAGGGGCAGGGGAAGCGCCAGAGGTAAGGTCAAAGAGAGAGAGGTCGTCTGCCCTATCGCATTGTAAGAACTGCTGGAGGTCATCTACCCAGACCTCAAAGTCAATGGCCCGACCCTCAGCGTCAAAAGCGAGGACACTGGGGGTAGCCATGACGACAGACGCCTAGCAGTGCAAGCAGTAGGGTGAGGGCAGCGCAGTTAAATAGAAGGCTCTGTGCTCACCAAACTGGGCAGAACGGGCCGTATGGAAGTAGGGCAGCTCAACGGCCGGCGGCTCGGCTGCGGGGCGGCTCGGCTGCTCGGCGGCTCGGCTGCTGGGCGGCTCGGCGGCTCGGCTGCTCGGCTGCTGGGCGGCTCGACGGCTCGGCAGCTCGGGTGTTGGACGGCTCGGCTGCTGGGCGGCTCGGCGGTTCGGCGGTCGGCTGCTGGGCGGCTCGGCGGCTCAGCGGCTGGGCGACCCGGCGGTCGGGCGGCGGGTGGGCCGCAGGTAGGGCGGCGGGCGTGCCGCAGGTAGGGCGTCTGGCGGGCCGCTGAATAGGGCGGCGGGGCCGTCGATGTAGGGTAGGGCGGCGGGGCCGCAACGTAGGGCGGCGGGGCCGCGAAGTAGGGTAGGGCGGCGGGGCCTCGACGTAGGGCGGCGGGGCCGTCAAAGTAGGGCGGCGGGGCCGTCGAAGTAGGGCGGCGGGGCCGTCGAAGTAGGGCGGCGGGGCCGCGACGTAGGGCGGCGGCGCCGTCGAAGGGTAGGGCGGCGGGGCCGCGACGTAGGGTAGGGCGGCAGGGCCGCGACGTAGGGCGGCGGGGCCGTCGAAGTAGGGCAGCGGGGCCGCGACGTAGGGCGGCGGCGCCGTCGAAGGGTAGGGCGGCGGGGCCGCGACGTAGGGTAGGGCGGCAGGGCCGCGACGTAGGGCGGCGGGGCCGTCGAAGTAGGGCGGCGGGGCCGCGACTTAGGGCGGCGGCGCCGTCGAAGGGTAGGGCGGCGGGGCCGCGACGTAGGGCGGCGGGGCCGCTAGAGTAGGGCGGCGGGGCCGCGACCGAAAGGCGGCGTGACGGGCCGCTGGGAGGGGGGGAAGGGCGACACGACGGGTCGCTAAAAAAAACGCGCGCCTCGGGGCACGCTTCGGTGGGCCCAAGAAACAATCCCTAGGAGGGGACCTGCTCTGATTCCATGAGAAGAATGAGAACGAGAAATGGATGAACTATGAGCGAAGTGGGTACAAGTACTAACTCTAATTGGGTTGTACCCCCTATGGGATACCCCACTATAGCCTACACAAAAGCATAAGCTATAATGTTCTGACAGATCAGCCAATACATTAGCCACATGTCTGGAAAATCAGCCTCCAGAGCCTAAATCTGCCTTTTTTCTCTGACATCTGAGGGCCTGCTCCAGGCCAACCAATTCTCGTCGCGAAAATCATTCTAACGGTCGGCAAACTTATTGGCCCTATTCTGTTGGCGCACAGGCCATTCGCAGCTGCCGCACAGGTACTGCGGACAGCGTTTTCCTCGAAAGGAAGGGAGGGCTTGAAGCTTCGTCGAAGGGTTTACTAATCGACAAAACTACAAACTTTTTTCTCCCGCGTGCCCGAAAAAATGTTGTTACACACTGCCCTAGCACTCTTCAAAAGTCAAAATTTCGCGAACTGATGCACTAGATGTGGCAGTCTTACTGGTTAACCGTTGGATTCTTTTTAGGGTGGGTATTCCACCAAAACAATACCCCAAAATGGGCGTTTGTAATCTGCCCGTTATTTGTTGTGCGTCTCTTCATTCCCCCCTCGACGAGCGCGTAGGGCTCGCACAGGCCATGCGGGAAAATTGCCAGTGAAACCAAGCTCGTGGAATCTTCTCAGCGCACAGAGAGTTATGCGTTCTTGCGCACGCATGAGTAATGCGCGCACAGCTCCCGCACCAGAGGTTCGGGAGACAATAACGATTTGGGAGGCTCGACGTGGGCTTTAAGCCTTGTTATGCGCATTCCGAGAATGTTCAGCGTTAGGGCTGAGCACCCCTTATGCGCCAACAGAACAGGGCCATTATTTCACGAACCCCCCGCAGTTGCGCTTGGGGTGGCAGGAAGCTGTATCGCACCACCGTGGGGGTTCCTGGCTTCGTGGAAGCCTTCAGCCGCACTGGTTGTGCTGTGCTGTGCTGTCCGCCGAGCATTTGCTTACGGGCAACAGAACAGGGCCTCGATTGGGCTGGACTCAATTCGCACTTGCGAAAACAAAGACGGCAAGAAGTTGGTTGGCGAAAGTCACCAACCTCTACAAGGGAATTTTCACGAGTGGTGGCAAGACGAACCCAACCCACCCTACTCAAGACGATTGTCTTGCCAAGGGAATGCAGATCGCGTAACGCAGCTTACTAGGGATCGGGAATATTATCGGTGCGCCTCTCATCCTTCTGAGACACGTGCGAGCTTCACACGACAATTAGAAGAGCGAAGAGGGTAACGCGGCTGCCTTCGCACCTCGCTGCGCCTCCCCTCGCAACCTTTCTCGTCGTCACCAGCTATCCACTCCCACTACCATTCCTCGCCCATGTCACATACTGCTCACCTCGCCAAGTCACTTTCGGCGGGCCCGCCCCGATAGCGGGCCCGCCATCTAACCGCCCGAGACTCCACAGTCTCGCAATCGTCGCGCGCAATTTCAATGTCGCCGCGCCTGTCTTCTCACACTCCCCGCCCTCTCCCTTCACGGCAAATGTTTGCCCTCGGTTTCTCAGACCTCCACTCAGTTTCTCGCTCATTTCCCCCCCTTCTTCCCCTCGTTTCCGCCCCTTCTTCCCCTCATTTCCGCCCCTTCTTCCCCTCGTTGATTAGCGGAGAGGACGAGGTGGTGAGAGGGCGAAGGCGATTTCACTGTATCCATGGGAACACCAGTAGCAGAGGCAGCAGCATCACAAGCTATGACCTCGTCTGCGTCTGCCGCTGCCCCCGCGCCCCCCAAGCTGCTGGCCGACGCGCTCCACCTCCTCGACGCGGCGTCGCGGCTCATCACGGACGTGCGCAGCGGCGTGGATGTGCTTATAGAGGGGGTTGTGACCGCAGCGGAAGCAGGAGGGGAGGGATGGGGAGGCGACGAGGAGGGCGGGGGCGGAGCGGCGGAGGTGATGGGGGAAGTGGAGAGGCGGATGCGCGGGACCGTGGCGCAGCTGCAGTCCGTTGGTGAGGGGGGAGGTGGGGGGGGAGGAGGGGGGAAGGGGGGGGAAGGGGGGAGTGGGTGGGGGGGGGCTTGTTTATTTTCTATTCTAAGCAAGTATACGGGGGGCTGGTTTGGGGAGAGATGTGGACATAGCGAAGTTGCAATTCATTGGTAGGCTGGGCGGCAATGAGGCTGGGCGGCAATGAGGCTGGACGGCAACGAGGCTGGGCGGCAATGAGGCTGGGCGGCAATGAGGCTGAGTGCGGAAGTGGATGGGGTTGGGTCGGGAGGTTGGGTGGGGGGGTGTTGAGAGAACAGCAGCGAGAGTGGAAATGGTGCGGGTGATGAGTAGGGCCGGCGGATGGGGAGACTTGCGGCACAGTTGCAATGCAACGCACTGGTGAGGCGAGGAAGGGGGGTGGTGGGACGTGCATGGTGGGACGTGCATGGTGGTTACTGGAGGTGCGTCAAGGGGTGATGGAAATAGAGGGGGGGGAGGGTGGGGAGAGAGGCGGGACGACAGGATAAGGTGCTTCCACCCTTGCACCTTGCTTCCGCCCTTGCACATGCCACTTCCTCCCAGCGGGCACAACTCCCTGTTGCTCGTCTTTGGAGCTACAAGTGTGTTCCACTGTGTGCATAGTCCAGTGTGTGCATAGTCCAGTGTGTGCATAGTCCAGTGTGTGCATAGTCCAGTGTGTGCATAGTCCCGGCGCGCCTGTCTCTCGCGAGAGCACCATCCTATCTTCACGCACCCCGTTTCTTTCCCGCTCCTCTCATTCACTCCTCTCATGCGCTCCTCTCATGCGCTGCTCTCACGCGCCAGGCACGCAGTTAGCGCAGATGGGCGCGTGGGACGCACACGGCACGCCTTCCCCACCCGCCGCCACTGCAGGCGGAGGGGACGGGACCGGGGGAGAGGAGGGAAAGGCGGCAGTTGGATTGCATGGTGATTCGAACGAGGGAGGTGAGGGAGTTAGTCGGGGTGGAGTTTCGAGGAAGGTGGTGGGGGGGGGTGGGCAGGCGGCGCTGGTGTGCGCGGATGGCATGCTGGTGAGCTACGCGTGGAAGCGCCACATCGCTGCTCATGCCGCCACCACCGCTGCCACGCGCACCGGGTGAGGGGGGAGGAAGTGTGCTGCGTGTGTGAGTGTGTGCTGCGTGTGTGTGAGTATGCTGAGTGTGTGCTGAGTGTGTGCGGCGTGTGTGTGTGGGTGCTGCGTGTGTGAGTGGGTGTGTGTGTGTGTGTGTGCCTGCTGCGCGTGTGTGTGTGTGTGTGTGTGTGTGCTGCGTGTGTGTCTGTGTGTGTGTGTGTGCTGCGTTTGTGTGTGTGTGTGTGTGTGTGTGTGTGTGTGTGTGTGTGTGTGTGTGTGTGCTGTGTGCGTGCGTGTGTCTGTGTGCCTGTCTGTGTGTCTGTGTGTCTGTGTGTCTGTCTGTCTGTGTGTGCTGCGTGCTTGTGTGTGCTGCGTGCTTGTGTGTGCTGCGTGCTTGTGTGTGCTGCGTGCTTGTGTGTGCTGCGTGCTTGTGTGTGCTGCGTGCTTGTGTGTGCTGCGTGCTTGTGTGTGCTGCGTGCTTGTGTGTGCTGCGTGCTTGTGTGTGCTGCGTGCTTGTGTGTGCTGCGTGCTTGTGTGTGCTGCGTGCTTGTGTGTGCTGCGTGCTTGTGTGTGCTGCGTGCTTGTGTGTGCTGCGTGCTTGTGTGTGCTGCGTGCTTGTGTGTGCTGCGTGCTTGTGTGTGCTGCGTGCTTGTGTGTGCTGCGTGCTTGTGTGTGCTGCGTGCTTGTGTGTGCTGCGTGCTTGTGTGTGCTGCGTGCTTGTGTGTGCTGCGTGCTTGTGTGTGCTGCGTGCTTGTGTGTGCTGCGTGCTTGTGTGTGTGTTCTGTCTCAGAGGCGCCCTCTCCCCTCTCCGCCCATCGGTTCCTCTTCCCTGCATCTCGCTGTCCGCCTTCAAACCTCATACGCCGCTGCTCCCCTACGTTCCCATCGCACTACCACACCATGGCCACTCCATGCATCTTCTTCAACTACTCTTCTTCTCTTCCCTCTCCCCATCTCCTCCTCCCCCTTCTGCCCCTCTCTCTCTATCTCCGTTTCCCTCTCTCCACCTCTTCCTCGGCACCCCTCCCCCCACCAGAGTGGCGCTCGCGGCATTTCAGCGCCACAGGCAGCGCTGCTTCCCGGCCCTCACGGCGCCGCCTCTCACGCTCACTGCACTCGCGCACCACCTCGCGCAGCGACCCACAGCCTGCCCTGCGGATGCCGCAGCAGTGGGTGCTGGCGGCGGTGGCAGTGGTGGCGAGGGTGCTGCGGGGCCCACCAGTGCTGCCGCTGCACCTGCCCAGCCTGCTGCTCACGGCTCCGCCACCACTGCTGCTGCTGCCGCTGCTGCCGTGAAGGTGGAAGGGGCTACAGTGGCTGGGGGGGAAGGGGCGGGTGGTGGGGGTGGGGAAGGGCAGGTGCAGGCAGCAGATGGTGGTGAAACTGGGGAAGGCACATGCGCTGCCACCGATACTGCTACTGCCGCTGCTGCCCCTCATGCTGCTGCTGCTGCTGCTGCTGCTGCTGCTGCTGGTGCAACAACATGCTCAGAAGGAGCAGCAGAAGGCACCTCTGTCAACACAGGTGCTTCTGGGGAAGGTACACCTGCAACTGCTGCCGATACGCCTGCTGCCGCGTCCGAACCTGGCCGCGATGGCCCGGGACCAGGATTGGGCCGAGCCACCCCACCAGCAGGCTTGGGGGTGATCGGGGCGTTAGGTGCGGTTGGACTGGGTCGGGGGAGGGTCGGGGGACTGGTTCGGGGCCTTGGGGCGTTTGGGCGGATGGGGGGGATAGGAGGAAGTATTGGGGGGAGTATCGGGGGAATGGGGGCAGGGGCGGGGGGAGGTGTGGGGGGGGGGGAATGCGATGGAGGCGGACGACCTGGGGGGGGGCGATGAGATGATGATGCTGGGGGGCGACTTTGGCGGCGAGGACATGGACGTGGATGGGCGCGGCGCGGGGGATGGGGGGGACGGGGCAGGCGCCCAGGCAGAGGAGCAGGGGGAGGCAGGTGGGGCGGAAGGAGGGGAAATGGGAGGCGGGGAGAGGAATGAAGGGCAAAGGCCGGTCTCTGGTGCTGGAGAAGGAGGTGCGGACGAGGGAGAAGGGGGTGGGGCGGAAAAGGCAGAGGGGGCAGGGGCGAAGGGAGGTGAAGGGGGGAGTGAAAGCAAGGCAGGGGTTGGTGGTGTTGGTGGTGGTGGTGGAGGGGAAGTTTCAGGGCGTGCAGGTGGGGCGAGAGGAGAACCAATGAGTGGCGGTGGTGATGTGGACGCTGCCAATGTGGGTGGCAGTGGCGATGGTGGTGGGACTGGTGCTGATGCGCATGTTGGCGCAGCGGGAGCCAAGGGCGTGAAGAGGAGGCGGGGCGAGGGGGGCGGCATGGAGGGCGGCATGGAGGCGTGCAGCGACCCCGTGCTGCGCGCCGTGCTGCAGCGCGTGCGTGTGGCGTGCCCCTCCTTGCACCTCGCCCTGCTGCGCCGCTCCTCCTGGCCGACCCACCTCATGGCGCACACTGGCACATGCGCTGCTGCTGTGCACGATGGGGGGGGAAGGGCAGGGCGAATGGAGAGGGGGGAGAGATACGAGGGAGGAGAGAATAGGGAGAGGGAGAAGGGGCAAATGAAGCAGGAGAAAGTGAAGCAGGAGCAAGGAGGGGCGAGAGAAGAAGCACCCCCTTCAAGAAAAGCTCCTTTGGAATTGCAAGCCTCGCCCGCTCAAAGGCGAAGGCGGGGGCAAGGGGGAGCGCAGATCATGTGTCCTCCCGGAGTGATTGAGGCGAGGGTTCCTGGAGCATTCCGTGCAGTTATCTCCCTCATGCCAGCTGGCACCTCACGAGTGGATGGGGTCGCTGTGTTTGGGACAGACGAGGTGAGTGTGTGCCGGGTGTGTGCCTCGAGTGTGTGCCGGGTGTGTGCCTCGAGTGTGTGCCGGGTGTGTGCCTCGAGTGTGTGCCGGGTGTGTGCCTCGAGTGTGTGCCGGGTGTGTGCCTCGAGTGTGTGCCGGGAACGCATCACCCTCCCTGCTATGTCGGGAAACCGTTCGGCATACGGTACACATACGAACTATATGCCACCGTACATACGTGATACGCTGATTTCCAGCACACGGAGTGTCGAGCAGTTAAAAAATATATCTTCAGGCCGGCAAAAGAACTTGAGTGGAGGTGAGACACGGTTTGTGTTAGGCACGAAATACCAGATGCGCGCTCTGGGTGCGAGTCACTAGATCCGCACACCTGCAAGTGCTCACATGCTTGTGAGGCTGTCTGACATTGGGTAGGGGAAATATGGATGCATTCAACACTTGAGTTTGTGCCTTGCAAAAGTGTGCAATTTTTACGCAAAGTTCTTTTCATTAATTTGCTTTTTCAACAGGCTGCCCAACCGAGCGTATCGCTTTTTTCGGCGCGAATTTTCGTATATGCGATAACGAATACGCGTGATTTGTTTCTTACCCTGACATTCGTTTTCAACATAGCCCCCCCTGTCCCCTCCCCATGTGCCGTGCGTTGCTAGGTGGGGCCGCATGTGCATGCGTGGGGGCAGTCGCACCACATGGCCTTCCAGCTCGTCACTGTGAGTAACGTGCCATGCAGCGATGCCGTGCAGCGATGCCGTGCAGCGATGCTATGCAGCTTGACATGTCCATTATCTAAATGTCTCCTACTACATGTTGTATTATCTTTTATACAACATGCAAATGCTAGATTAGGTGTAGGGTTGTTGGTTGTACCTTCACCCACAATTTGTGGATGCAGCTTGGTTGGGTTCCCAACAATTATTGGACCTCCAATAATGTTGGTCCAACCAAACCAACAATGATTGAAGCCACCAATAATTGTTGGCCAAGCTCACGCTTTACCATCATCTTCACCTATGTATACCGTCGCTCCTTGAGCCCATTCTCAATTTAATTATTGCTTCTTTCACCACACTCTCTCTGTCCATCTCTTTTCCCTCCCTCTGTCCTACCCTCGTTTCACCTCTCTCTTCCCGTATTTGATCTCCTATCTCGGCCCCATCAGGCACAAGCACGGCAAGTGGTGCACAAGCTGCGCTGTGCGGCCTCACCGCATCCCTCCGCAGCAGCATGCACCACTCCGCCTCTGCAAGGCCTTCTGGTGAGACCTCTTCAACCCGCTCCCTTCCTCTTGTGAGCTCGTGAGCTGAACTATTGATTAGTTAGCGTTACCTCTAGCTTGGGCTGGGCTGGCAAGGGCTAGGCTGGAAGAAAGGGGCCCCAAAATTTTAATGAAATTGCCTGAAATTGGCCTGGTTGTTGGAACTTGGGGTGACCACGTTAGCTGAGCATCAAAGGTTGTGAAGTGGGCAAGCCATCCTTGAGCGTGTAACACACAACACAAGCTACGCCACCACTATTATTCCAGCAAGCGCCGGCACTAGGAGGCGCGGTTCGGCCCAACGCAGCCCTGTTGCGCCGCTGCCCATTCCCTTGGCTAACGCGTTCGCTGCCACCGCCGCTTCTCTTTCCACTGCTCTTCCCGCCGCTCCGCTAGGCGCTCCTTGTGCTGAGCTCCGCTAGGCGCTCCTTGTGCTGAGCTCTGCTAGGCGCTCCTTGTGCTGAGCTCCGCTAGGCACTCCTTGTGCTGAGCGGCAGACAGAAGGGTGGAGGAAGAGAACAATCATTTGTGATCCACTCGTGCCTGCTGCATTCCCTCTGCCGTGCTTTCCCCAGGAATGGCTGCACTCCTTCCGCTCCCTCTTCCAGCAGCCCTGCAGGTAGGCAGTGCAGGTAGGCAGTGCAGGTAAGGCAGTGCAGGTAGGCAGTGCAGGTAGGCAGTGCAGGTAGGCAGTGCAGGTAGGCAGTGCAGGTAGGCAGTGCAGGTAGGCAGTGCAGGTAAGCAGTGCAGGTAGGCAGTGCAGGTAGGCAGTGCAGGTAGGCAGTGCAGGTAGGCAGTGCAGGTAAGGCAGTGCAGGTAGGCAGTGCAGGTAGGCAGTGCAGGTAGGCAGTGCAGGTAGGCAGTGCAGGTAGGCAGTGCAGGTAGGCAGTGCAGGTAGGCAGTGCAGGTAGGCAGTGCAGGTAGGCAGTGCAGGTAAGGCAGTGCAGGAGTGGCGCTTGTGCAAGTGTGCACGTGTTTCTGTTTTCCCTGTACGCTCCCTGTCTGCTTGCACGCACCAAGCCGTCAAACCGCGTTAGTTGTTCTCTGACCCATGCCTATCCACTATCACCCTCCACCATCCTTCCACTCATTTCCGTCTGCCTCCCATACCACCTTCCCTCAGCCCCTATGCTGCAAGCAGTGCTGCTCTCCCCTACTTTCTGCCTTGTTCTGTCTGTGCTGACGGGGGTATTGCCTCATCCACATTTTCTCTCAAGTCCCCACCGCCTCCCCAACCTGCTCATCCCCCGCACACACCACAGCGCATGTCATCGCATCATCGCGCTGCACCATCCCTCCCGCCACCTGCTGCCGCCAGTTGTCCGCCCCTTGCATGCCCCCGCCTCTGCTGCTCCCGCTGCACCTGCCACTGCTCACACTGCCTCTGGTGCTGCTGCCACTCATGCCTCTCCCGCTGCTGCTGCTGCTGCTGCTGCTGCTGCTGCTGCTGCTGCTGCTGCTGCTGCTGCTGATGCTGGCACTGAATCAGGAGCTGCTCAAAGGGGAGACTTGCTGGTGGAGAGAGCAGGCATGGGGAGCGAGGAGGCAGTGGGAGTGGTGGCATGGCACTTGGGATGTGCGATTCCTTGTGTGTAACACCATACATACCGTACCTACAAATATGGAAGGTTCGAGTCATCTGGAAGGCCGTTGGGGCGAGTCTCGTGTCGTTGCGATCAGAACCTACACAGAATTCATCGAGTAAATTACTCTGTTTCTTTGAGAATCAAAGCCTAGCTTATGGATCACACAATATCCAAATGAAGGCTCTAAATTAGCTACATGAAAGATTTCATCAACCCTATCAACACACCCCACTGCAGCCTTCACAAGATTGTCGTTACGGTATCCCAACTTGGGTCCTTACTTGACCCTTGTACCATCCCCTCTCCGCAACTACCAGCAAACCCCATCATCATGCCAGCACTAACACAACCTGCACATGCGCCTGACATGATATCAAGCCCATGCCCATCCCAGCTTGGGCCACTATGAGCGGGAGGTGGAGTTGAGCAGAGCCCTCACTCGTCACCTTCACCTTCTCCTGCTGCTGCACCCGCTTCACCAGGTGCCGCTTCCTCGCCTCCTGCCTGCTCTTCCCCCACCACTTCAGCAGCAGCATCACCCGCTTCCCCTGCCACACCTTCAGGAGCCTCGGCAGGCTCCGCACCCTCTGCACCCTCTGCGGCCTCTGCGGCGTGTACAACCTGTGTGGGAGCAGCATCTTCCGCGTGCCCCTCAGGCACAGTGTCAGCAGCATGGGCAGCATCGTCGGCAGCAGGGCCAGCATCATTGGCAGCAGCAGCATCATCAGTATCGGCAGCAGCAGTGGCCGCAGCAGCCGCCGCAGCCTCAACAGCAGCAGCGACAAAGTCGTCAGCATATGGCTCGCTCTCCCTCTGCCCGTCTTCCTCAACCACCGCCACAGCAGCCCCATGTTCCATCTCAGGGTCCGTCTCCCCATGCCCTCCCCTGTTATCCTCGCTCGCATCACCTCCCATCCCTTCATTCCCCCCGTCCTCTGCCTCGCCACGCTCACCACCGCCACCCCCACCTTCACCTGCCAGGCCACTCGCCACAGTCTCTGCCTCGTCGTGCTGCATGTGCCCACCATCCGCTCCCTCCTCTTGCTGCGCCTGCCTCTTGTGCGCCTGCTCCTCCTCTTCCCCCACTTCCACCTCCTCCACCTTCCTCTTCGCCCCAACCATTCCCTCCCCAGTAACTCCTCCTTCCACTCCTTCACCTACTGCGTTCGCCTGCTCCATTGCGCCACCACCGTCGCCCCCCGCCTCTTCCCCGTGCCCCGCCGCCCCCTCACCCGCGGACGTCCCCTCACCCTCGCCTGGAGCACCACCGCTGCTGTCTCCCGCCTCCCCCGCCCCACCGGCGCCGCTCATCGCCACCTTGTCCCACACCATGGGCTGCTCCTGCGCCGCCGCCACCTCCGCGCTGCGCATCGCCTCGCGCAGCCACGCGTGTCGGTTCCGCGCCGCGTTCGGCTGCGTCCACGCAAGCTGCCGCCGCCCCTGCCGCCCTTGCCCGGCGGCAACCGCACCGTACCCAACGGCGTCAGCGCGCGTGTCCACCGCGCCCATGCCGGCCGCCGCGTTCGCTGCGCCGACCTGCGCGCCATGCCCCCCCGCCGTGGCCGCGCTGGCGGAGAAGGATCCGGTAGGCTCGAGAGTGATGCCCGGGTGAACCACCATCTCCGACCCCACGGTGGGTGGCGCCAGCATGGCGGCGGCGCCGGCTCCGCTGGGGTCGTACTCCGCCACGGGCACGGCGACGGCGTGCTGCATCCCCGCGCCACTGCCGCGCCCGGACATCCCCGCATACCAGTTCTTCCGCCCCCACTTGTGCCGCCCGCGCGATCCGAGGCCCGACGTGGGGCCCACAGGCGCACTCGCGATCTCCCCGCCATGAGCGGCGCCCAGAGCGCCCGCCGCGCGCTCGGCGGCGAAGACGGTGGTGTAGGCGACGGGGAGCGTGTCGTCCGCCACGCCGTCGCGCCCCATGGAGGGACTCACGGACGCGGGCGCGAAGCGCAACGGCCGCGCGGGCGGGTGCAGCGGGCCGACGACGCCCGCCTTGCGACGATTCTCGAGCTCCGCCTCCCACGCTCCGCGCAGCGCTGTCTCGCGCTCCATCCAGCCGGGCATGGCTCGGCGCGGCGCGAAGAGGCGGTCGATCTCGGAGTAAGCGGCCTCGAGGAAGAAGGAGACGACGTCCATCTTGGTGACGGTGATGCCGCCGCTCGCCAGCGACATGCACTCCTTGAGACCCTCGATCAGCGCGAACAGCGCGGGCGACAGCCGCACCACCGCTTGCTTGCCGTCCGCGCGCTTGTGGTAGTCGCCCTTCCGCCGCATGGTCGCGGTCAGAATGCCGGCGTTGCCGCCCATGGCGGCGTTGGGATCCATTCTGATGCCGGCGTACTGAGATGGGTCCATTCAATGCGCGGCTCGTAAAGTTGAATCCAGCAAAACGGCTGCTGCTGGAGGGGAAATTGAGTGATCCCTGGGGTAACTAAAGTTACGCGGTTGGAGATGCAAATTGCGAGAGAGGATTCGTTGCTCCAGAAGATGCGCTGACAGCGAGCTACTGCGACAGTGAGAAACTACGAGGGAAAACGAGGAGCGGTTACCAAGAAACCTGGAGTTGGGAGAAAGCAAGATATCTGTAGGAGAGTTGTATCTGCAGTTACCAAGAGCGCCTGGCTTGTCAAGTTACGGGCTAACCCTAGGGTTTCCCTCAGGTGCTTCGCCTCACGTTACCCAACTAACCAGCTGTGGAGTGATGGCGAGATGTTGCCCCCTTCCCCCGAGGATGTTGCGCGAGAGTGTTTGCGGGGCACTCGGACGGGGAGGGGGAATATCTGGATTGGGAGGGGCGGGATGTGTTTGCGTGCGGGGAGGGTGTGTGGTTGGCGTGGCGGAAGTGACGATAAGAACTGACCAGACGATAAGGTCGCTGTCTACGATGCCGTGCGAACATCATTGCCGCGATGTAATACACAGCCAATAGGAAATGCTGCACAGAAAAATAGGCGACGATCACGACGGTAATGGATGGGAGAGGGCTTCGCGAGAATCACTTTTGTCTTCGCGCACCGGAATTTCAGCAAGGACACCTCGATCTGTCATAGACGTTCTGAACCAATAGAAAGCGGCTCGAGCATAAAAAATTCCCCCCCAAAGGGATCAAAGTGAGGTTGCGTCACAGGATCGATGTGTGGGGTGTACAGCACCGCCATTGTTATCTCTGAATGGTTAAAACTATCAAAAACTCACCAAAATGGTCACCACGATTGTATCCCCTCCGCTTGGAGTGATCATGAGATTGGTGCGGAGAGTCACTCTACAACGGGATGTGGACTATGTAAGGTTGTGCGGGTGATTGTAGCATTGTATTCTCGTTCTCACTACTTGCTTTGTTCACAAAAAGATTTCGCAAGAGTTTCATGACGAATTAACAACAATACACTACAATTAGGCATGCAAATCGATATAGCAAGAAAAGGCATTGCAGCACCTAGC